CACACACACACACACACACACACACACACACACACACACACACACACACACACACTTACACACACTCAAACTCACACTCACATACACATGCACACACATTCTCCTGTCTATTGATGGGGAGCGCCACCTGCTGCAAACTGGGTCAAGCGTCCCATGAACATCGTGAATAAAGCACCAATCGGGACCCCACACACACTCTCTTCGAGTTGTGTATAGCGAACACAACAAAACATACATACAGCATAATCACTACCTTACCCTTCCCTAACCACATCAACAAACGAACTACGGGTTGCGCACCCGTGCCCGCACGGTAAGTCAATTTATAGGGGGACTCGGGAAGGGCACCAGAGGGGAGGCAGAGTGACTGGTCCATCGAAGAAGCTCGGTTCTGATGCTATCGGCTGACCCCTAGCCGATATCGCCCACCTGCTGTAGCAGTACCAGGAATCACACCTGCTGGTGGGTGTAGCTCCTGCATGTTCCCTCGTTGGAGGCTTGAGCACGGATGTGGCAGCTACGGGGTTCCCCTAATCCTATAATGACAGTATAAAAAAATAACCTGAAAGGCCTTCCTATCCCGATTCTTAAAAAAAAAAGAAAAACCCGAAGAAGAAGGCCCCAAACACGGGCCATTTCCCATAGTAGGGACGCCTAGTTGTAAACTGCTTCAACCAGTAAGCACATAAATCCACTTCTTTTTTAGGGGGGGAAATTGCATTTGTACCCCACTTAAAGATGGGAATACCCGCTTTACCCAGTCCCAGCACGAACTTGCATCTATACCCGGAGGTCGTTCAACTTTCCACAACACCTTCAACTTTGCACAGCACCTTCTCCCCTATACGAAATTGTAGGTGTACCTAATCCAGTAGGCCCTGGATTCGGAGCATGAAATTATGCTCATGCCCACCGAGTGGACCGTTGTGGCCCAAGGGCTGTTGGGTATGAGCATCATTTAAGCCATTCGTAGCAGGGTATATAAACAATTTGGCCTCTCCTCCTCAAGTTCCAGTATGCCCATAATTTTGCCTGGGTATGTCCATAATTTGTGCATTCCAACCTGGATCCACCTCGGTCCTGGGCATGCAAACAATTCCCACCAGCCGTTTTTTGGATATAGACGCAATTTGGCACAGACACTAGGTATAGCCAGTACTTGGCCCAGCTATCGGCCGCATAAAAAAATAGAGTAGAAACGTTTATAGTCGGATGAATTTGGGCGCTCCTGTAATAGCCCGTATGTGTCCTAAATTTTTCTCGCATTAACGGGCACGACTCTAGGAAGTACTGGTGGTTTAAATGAGGTACAGATGCGATTTTTCCTTTTTTTTCCTTTTTTTTTTTGAAGGCCCAACCAATTCAATTGTCTGTCGAATCTGGACAAGACGTCCTTTTAAGTCTTTTTTATTTTCATCTTACCTCCTATAGCGTATTGGCCGCGGGAGGGAGAACAGTGGGTTGCTGCGCGCTGAAACCCGGCATAAAAATACGCACGGGTCATCGGATGGGGCAAATCGATGGGGAAAGGAGTGCAAAGTCGGTTGTCCACCGTTTTGTTCAAATCGCACCAGTTAACGTGGTGAGGGTGACCACACGTGTGGTGTGTGATGAGCGTTGTTCGACGCGGATATCTCGCAAGGAGAACCACCCGATAGCGGGCGACCGTTATTTTGCTCCGCCTTTCCTATTTTGCATATTCTCACCCGTCGTTTTGTTCCCCTTTTGCCCGTTTGCCCAAAAGAAGTGGGCATCCGCGGCCCCCTCGTCGTGCCCATCTGCTCGTCAGTGATCGACATGAATATATAGCAAGGAGAACCGCCCGATAGCAGGTGGCGGTCGTTTTGTCTCGCCTTTACTGCCGTTTTGTTTCTTTTTTTTTTTTTCCCGGTCTCATATCGTTTTGTTTCTCTTGGTCATTGTTTTTCGGGAAAAATAAGTCAGCAGTCGTTGTCGAGCGCATCGGTCCTGCACGGGGACCCTCCCGGTTATGTCACGCAGGATTTTGGCAGTTCGGGACGCAGAGTCAAGGAGCGGTGTCGCTCCGGCCGAGTGCATCATTCATACCCCTCATAAACCCCAGCGACAAAATAGGGTCACATGAGGTACAACTTACCTCCACATGTGCGATGTCGCGCACGTGTAAAAATACGAATAATTTTGGGTTTCGCACGTAAATATACTTGCAGTACGTTTGGTCATGAGGACTGCGTGAAATAAAATTGGTTGAATCTCTCATACATAAGGTTGTATGGCATCAAAGATAGCAGACTCACAGTCATAAATGCAGCTTTAAACACATTTAAGCCACCGGTTCCCCAAACGTTGAAAAATTGAGGGGAATGGTAACACACGCTAATGAGGGTTACCAACAGGACTTTGTGGAGAACCGACTTAGTGGCAAAAATGGCAAATGCGCTAAATTAGCACAACAGTCATTTCACTACTTAAAAACTATTTTTTAATTTTTTGATATTTTTCCTGAAAATGTCACAAACTAATCTACCAGGACACCAATTTTTGAAGTTTTTAAAAATTTGGTGTAAGCATGAAAAATCATCGAAGTTTGGGTATTTTTCCGTTGGTTGCTAGCTCGCGCAGTCGTAAAAATAAAAAATGCCTCAATTTGGCGTAAAAATTATTTCACGATCTTAACCATTTTTTTTCATTTTTTAATATCTTTCTTGGAAAGATCACGACCTAATCTACCCGATCTCAAATTTTTAGATTTTTTTGCGGATTATTCAGGGCACGAAAAATCTCCAAAGTGGGTGCTTATAAATTTTATAACTGGACTCACTGGTCGCCTGTTGGTCGCCTTCCCCCACCAAATGAAGCCCTAACTCACCGGAAAGTTGATTTTTTGTCGGCGGGGAAACTGGTGGTTTAAATGTATGACTCATTATGGGTCTCGCGTGCAAATGTACGTGTGTATGCTCTTGGTCATAATGATCATGTAAAGTAAACTAGTTGAATCACTCAGACATAGAGGTTGTGTGTCATGAGATGATTACTCTCACTATTATTGATGCGACTTGTCCATCAACATTCGCAGATACACAAACAACCTGGGTATAAAAGGATAAATCATTGAAAGACTATGAACTATTGTCTGATAAGGTTAACTTTGGGCTGGTGAGAGCACCTACCTTTGTGGTTTGGCCTTATATGTAACTGGGTGAGATTACTACTTGCTCTGAGTTTCAGTTTGATAGGTAGTTGCTTTAGATGCTCGCCACGTGCTAGAGCCATAAGAGTTAGTTTCAATTCCTGCATTTTTCGAGCTAAGTTTTTTTTACTTAGGTCAATTTCTG